AAAAATGTACGCAACGTCTCGGGAAAGACTTGTTTTCGAACACGGCACCATTATTTGATGTGGATAACATATATTTATTGCCCCATCGTGTTTTGAAGAAAAATCATACTCGTTTAAAAAAGTCGAGGAAAATAAGGTACATGGAGGCAAGTATGAAAAATGTAAGCAATGTCTCCAGAAAGACTTGTTTTCGAACACGGCACCATTATTTGATGTGGATAAAATATATTTATTGCCCCATCGTGTTTTGAAGCAAAATCGTACACGTTTAAAAAAGTCGAGGAAAATAAGGGTAAATAGGGGCAAGTACGAAAATATACACAACATCTCCGGAAAGACTTGTTTTCGAAAATGACACCATTAGTTGATGTGGATAACATATACTTATCGCCCCATCGTGTTTTGAAGCAAAATCGTACACGTTTAAAAAAGTCGAGAAAAAAGAAGGGTAAATAGGGGCAAGTACTTAAATGTACGCAACTTCTCCGGAAAGACTTGTTTTCGAACACAACACCATTATTTGATGTGGATAACATATGTAACGCCCCAAGTTTTATTAATAAAGGAAAATACTAGCTTTTAGTTTTAAGCTAGCCTTTATTAATAAATAATCATGTTCATGTTCAACTTCAGGTTAATCAGTCAGTTATAAGCCAAGTTCGACTATTAGTCGATAAATTATTCGGTTTAATTGTTTAAGTAACCGAATAAGTTTCCAGATTTAATTCCGATTCGTTTATTTAATTAATGAGTTCGGAATTAATTATTTAGTAAGGAATAGCCCGCCAGATTAATTATATAAATCATGTTGTTAGTTCCGATATAATAATATTTTTGAGTATTATTTTCGGAATTAATTAATTTCAGTCAAGATTACCCGAAATTATTTTCGACGTTCCGTTTACGTTCGGAATAATTTTGGTAATTAAGCATTATGTTTAATTAAATAATTAAATATAATTTAGTGATTAGTTAGTAATTAATCACACTTTAAGCCTCAAAAGCCGTAGCAATTTGGTTAAGTTCATGAGGAATTTTCCCACTTTAAATTCCATTGTGCCGTGAGTATTTGGTGGGAAAGTTAAGGAGAGGTTTAGTGGCATGAGGTGTCATATGTTCATGTGGTTATAGTATGACTAAGCTAAGTATTTGATGACTTAGCATTAAGAGTGATATGTGGCATAATTAGGAGATGCCACCAAAAAGTTCCACCTCCTAAGCTCTCTCTCGGCCATGTATAAATAGGTTGGTAATGGGAGGATTGTTCTCCTCATTTTCAGCCATATAAATTCCTTCATATGCTTAAGTATAGAGAGTTGAGAGAGTTAAGTGAGGTGGGAGTATATCACAAGTAGCCCCGCACGCACCGCACGCCGTATCGCCGAGAGCAGCGCTGATGAAGATCGTGTGTCCCGCCTGTCGACAAGTCGCTCCCGCGCCTTAAATCGCTCGATAGGTGTTAGGAAGTCGCACACTCGCAGCCTTTCTAACGAATATAATTGCAATAGAATTTTGGTGAAAATACTAAAGCAAAGAGAGAATGAACAAAAGTTCTTGATTTCTATTTATTCTTGGATGATTCAATTAACATAGGGGACACGGGTATTTATAGGAGAAAACTAAATCTAATTCTAATCTAACTAGATCTCCTAAACTGTGCAGTAAATAATCCCTATTCCAACTAAATCTCTAATTAAAGCAATTAAATATTAAATAACCTAAACAATCTAGATATTATTGTGCAAGAAGGAAACTAAATATCCTAGAGTCCTAATTGACTAGATTGTCTTGATCTTGTTTGGCTTGCACTCCAAACAATTCCATCCTCACGCCTCATAATACTTCGGCCCGTCTCGTACGCCTTCCATCCGTGCGCGCCGACCTTCGGCTTCCTATTCCTTCTCGCGCGCGGTATCGCGCGCGCTTGCGCCCCACGCACGTCAACGCCAACCGCCTCAGCCTCGCCTAGTCCCGCACGGACTAGGCTTCGCGCATCTGCACCCCACGCGCGCGCCATCTTGCGCGCTATTCTTTCGCTGCCGCCCTTGTGCGCGTATGCGCCCAGCACGCCTATGCCTTCGCGGTGTAGGACTCCCGCATTTGCGCTACACCCGCGCGCTTTCTTGCGCGCCCAGTTCCAATCGATCCTCTCGCGCGCGTGCCGTCGAGTGCCCGTCTTTCCGAGGACTCTGCCCGCGTGTACGCCCAACGCCCGCACATCACCACCCGATGCGCGTCTCTCGCCCATTCGCCCATCAGCTACGCCTGTCCAACCCTCGTGTTCTCCGGGCTCGATCACCACTTCCGCATCATTCCCGCCCCCTTTAAGCACATCCTTGTCCTCAAGGATCGAAGCTATTTCCAAACTCCTCATTTCGGCTTCTCGACCTTTTCCTTTCAATTCGGTTTTTAACATGATGAGTCGGCTTCCCGAGTAGAATTCCATTATGCCTTTCTTGTAATTCATCGTGACTTCTCCAAGTCCTTCAAGCCATTGAATTCCAAGAACTATCTCGGGCCCCACAATAGGTAGTGCATAGAGGTCGGCTTTGATGATCTCACCTTGCAGGTTGATGGGCACTTCTCGATAATATTCGTGACATCTTAGCCGCTCTCCATTGGCAACCCTTATATCGAACGGTTCCACTTTCGTTGCCTTGAGCTCTAAGTCCTTAGGTATTCGGTCGCAAATGAAGTTATGCGATGAGCCAGTGTCGACTAGTACCTCGATTGGCCGTTCCTTGATCTTGGCGGGCAGTCGGATTGTTCTCGGTCCCTGTAGGCCTGCCATTGCATTAACCGAGATCTCCAAATCTTCGTTAACTTGCTGCGTCGGTTGGTCCTCATAGGCTTCTTCCTCGTCCTCTTCAATGACGTCGATCAGAAAAAGTCGTTTGCATTGATGGCCTGGGGTGAAACTTTCTCCGCATTTGTAGCATAGACCTTTCTCACGCCGATGCCTCATCTCTTCAAGCGACAGACGCTTGACCTCCGGGACTTGTGGTTGAGAGCTATCGGGCGGTCGATTGCTCGAAATCATAGTGCCCGTGCTCGTTTGTGTGCGTTGCGCCTCGGGAATGCGTGTGTCATACCGTCCCCTTCGTGTAGCTACTAGATGATCATCTCGGCGTCGAGCAACCTCCATAGCCTCGTGCATTGATTCTGGTAGCTCTAAGCGCACCTCAGCGGCTAGGTCGAACTTCAGCCCTCCTATGAACGTACCGACTAATGCAGTCTCGGGCCATCCTCGCACGCGACATGCCAATCGCCCGAACTCCTTTAGGTAGTCGCGCAAGCTGCCAGTCTGTCGTACACGTGATAGCGCCTCGTCGTAGTTGTGGTAGTCGGATATGCCAAAGCGCGTGAGTAATTCGCGCTCGAAATCTCCCCAAGTGATGACTCGCTGCCGACTACGGTAGACGCTTGTGAGCCACTGCCACCATACGTTGGCCTCCCCATCAAGGTAGTAGGCTGCGTATCGTACCCGCTCGTTCCCCTCAGTCTCGTTCAACTCGAAGTATTGTGCAGCCCGGTTAAGCCATGCGTCGGGGTCGGTTCCGGTGAAGGTGGACAGCGTGAGCCTCGGTTTGTCAAGTCTTGGCCGGTCACGGTAGTTAGACGCCTGGGATCGCCGCTCGAAATCATCCACACGCTCTTGCTCGTACTCATCGTGCGGTCGTTCGTATGGGTGCCTTCCTTCGCGCCTAGGGGATGGTGGTCACGGCGGTACGTCGTGTTACCGCTGTTGTTTCTGTTGGAAGCCACACAACACCTCTTCCAGGCGTTGCTCAAGTCGCGCCACTGCTGCGTTGGTGCTGCTTTGTCCTTCATCGAGTGATCCAAGCCTTCCCTCCATAGTTTCGCTCATGCTCTTGACTTGAACGTCAAGGCTGTCCAATCGCTCCTTTACTTCCTTATTGGCCATGTCCTTCCTTTCTTGCCTTCTCTCTTTTGCTCGAGGACTCGTGATGAAAGAGATTTATTTGGCTAAAAAATCTAAAATTCCTAGTACGTAATCTCCCCACAAGAAATCCTAATACAATGTTATCCCACGTTACACAAGAGGAAACAAAATTCCTTACCCCCAAACTTACGGTGCCAGCCTAAATAAATC